CCTGCAATTTATTTTGCTGCGCTGCACAATATATTGCTCTGTTTAACTTATTGCATTAGCTTTGTGCTGCATCCTGCTCTTTGTGAGACCACTCTGCTTAGTGTTTCGCAGTACAGTATAACTTATTTATAGTTACCTGCAGGTTCATAATGTTCCATCATATGTAATGCAGCTGTGTTATTAACTATAAGTTACCGTTGATAAAAACATCAGACATGAATAATGATGATATATAAATTGCTTGCTCATATTTGCACCCTCCCTGGCTGGTGAGGAATGCTGTATTGTGCAGTAGGTTTTTCAATGTCATCTGTGTAGAAGTCCACAAGTTGCTATGATACAACAGCGCCAGCAGGAAGTGCAATTCAAACAGACCATTTGACTTCGCACAGAAAGTTACATCTGGGATATTAACCACTGCTACACAGCACATCTCAGCCCGCAATTTAATTAAACAGGTGTACAGAAAAAGTAAGGAAAAGAATCTCCTAAAATGTTTCAATCTTAAAACTGTGTTGTGAATGAAAACAAAGTAAGTTCAAATTTAAAAAAAGTAATTGTCTTTTTTTTATCCAAACCTCCGTAAGTACTTAAAACATGCATCCAACACAAACACTAATACAACAAATTACAATTCACTCAGCTGGGTTTCTTTACAGCAATGGTATTCATGTCCTGTTATGTGGAGAATTTCAGGACACAATTGGTGGTGTTGTATTTTAATTAGCTGTTCTTGCACTTCTAGCACAGTACTCACAAGCATCCCCAAGCCTATTTATTTTTAAAAGTGTTTAATTTAGAGGAGGCCTGGTTGGAAAGATAAATTGACTTTCCTCTCAGTTAGAGCTGTTAGACTTGCCTTCTGCACAATTTAACAGGTTAATTGGAGGGTCAAAGTGCTAAAATACTTCGGAAGTAATTTGATTGCTTTAAAACTAATGAAAAACCTGTTCAAATCCTGCATCGGATTTGTAATGATAATGACATTTGGAATTCTTTTCCTCCAATTATGTTTTTGTCTAGTAGTATTTTTTTTTTATTTCTGAAAGTTGAAAATATTGCTTTATTTATTTCTGTTGGCATCATTTAGGAGAACTGCTCATCAAAGCACTGCCTTCAGTTCCAGCCTTACAATTTATGTGTAATAATAACATCCCTCCTAGGTTAATGATGTACAGTTTGGTCATTTTCTACCTTGGATTTGCACATAGTGTCATCTGTACAGGTTGCTGTAATGTGGTTTGTTCTCCTGTCTCTACCTCTGGAACATTATAAAATTCCATGTGTCACCGTGAAGCCACATTTGACATGAGCCAAATTTTCATCTCACATTTTGCCTATTGCAAGTTCATCATCTTAACTGAGTTACATATTTTTTTTTCTCTTCATTGTTGTGACACTAAAGGAAACTGGTTTTGACACCACTTTTTTCAATCCTACTTGCAGAGCGTGTTCAATATGAAACTAATAATGCACCTTAGGAACTGTAGTTCTGTTCAGAAAGAGTAAATGTTCTTAACAGTATGTGTTCTTTCAGCAAAAATGCATAGCAATCAGAATGAATGTATGTTTGACTTCAGTCATTGTGTTGATTGCAATTATTCCTTTGAATTATGCACTCGACAAAACTTTCCATTTTCTGCTTTTTCTTCTGTGCCATTGTGTGTTGCCTTTTGTGCTCCATCCATTTTCTTTTTTCATTTTTTTTCTTTTAATTGTCTTCCGACTTTTCTTCATGTGAGGTACTGTACCCACTCAGAAAAAAAAACATCATAAAGTGGCTCTGACTGGAAGATTTCTTACAGCAGGTAGAGTCCAGATACCGTAGGTGGCAGGTTGACTGGAGATTGGTTGCATCTGGTGTGCTTCTATTGACCCAGTAAATATTCAATATTGACCAGCTCCATATTACTCTTGTCCCCATTGAATGACCTGTTTTCACATAAAGGAATGGTCAGGTCAGTCTCTTCATGTCTTTCTATTCTGTATCTATTTAAGTATGTTACATACACTTACTGTATACTGTAGATGTTATACAGTATATGAATTCTATACTGGCCTGCTAGTACAGGAGCAGATTTTAGGCTGATGAAATTAATTTGTCCATAAAAAGTTTTTGGCCCATGTGAGCCCACTGCTTACTGGTCTACTCTAGATACTTAAGCTCCTTAATTATGATTTACTTAAAGCTTCACTATGTATATAGTATATGGATTTGAAATGGAAACATAATTTCTTCCGTTTCCAAAAGCGAAGACACTGTACTGTTTGTTTTCTTAAAAAAACACACCTGCTGCAAATATATATTTTTTTGCTTTTGTTAAGCTCAATGAGAGTCGTTAATTGGTAATGAAAGAAGGGCTAACTAAAGGTGTTCCTACAGTATATAAATAATTAAATGTCATCCATAGCCAGGGATACAGTTGTATAAGTGGTAATGAGTGTTCTGTGCATGGACAGCTCAGCTCAATATACTGTAGCTATTTATAGACATGCCCGCTCCTCACAAATACCCTCACAATCACAATGATTTCTCTCTGCAGCTGTCTTAGAATTAAGGCCGAGGGGCAGTATTTTTTCCCAATAATGAATCAATTTCTGTTTAAGGCTCAGGATTGGTATGGGGAGATTTGAAAATGAATGGCTTATAGAGACACTTGAGCTGCATTCTGTAAGTGGGAATTACCTCTGCCTGATGCAGATATGAGTATTGAGTGTTGGTTAGGCATCTATTTCATCGCTTAGTGTCCGTGTGAGAGTTTGCCTTCACCAGGCCTAGCACTGCAGCAAGCAGTAGGAACATGTACAGCTTTCAGAATTAGTGGAACATCCAGCTGTCTGCTGAATTTATTTTTCTATTCTTCTCTTAGCTGTTTTGCAGTATTAGTAAGCTAGGGCAGCCCTTACTGGTTTTCTTCTAAACTCAACAGACCTGTGAATGATTTGCAGTATTTGCAACACAATTTCACATGTTCTTCCTTCGTATATTGTCCACTGTTTTAACCTTTTCCTTTGCACAGAATGGATTTTGTAGTGTACTGTATCAGTTGTATCTTTGAAATAATTTTATCAAATGTATCTTGAGTGTACTGCTTAATGCCCATGTGAGCAATGTCTTTGGTGCTACAATGTGTCCGTTATTCATCCCTTATTTTAAGTAGATATGCACAGTTGAACATTTTACATAAGGCAAGTGAATTGTCTTGCCTTGCTCAAGGGCACAACAGCAGTGTCCCAACTGGGATTTGAATGCATAAGCATCTGGTTACAAGTCCTAACCATTACACCCCACTTCTGTCTGCTTCCTCCTGCTTCCTGCAAAATATCTTAGAATAGAGCTTCTTTTAAAGGAGGTGGATAATTGTTGTTATGAGTTGTCATAGTAGATTTCAAGCACTAAACATTAACTGTATGGTAGAGGAATGTCATGACACTCAATAAAGGCAGAATCTTCATTGTGTCTTCAAGAACGGTCAATAGGTTGTATGGAGCCAGTATACAGTCCGTGGTATTCAATGATTTAGGCTGTTAATTATGAAGGAGTGACAAATGCAAACAAATAACTAAATGATTCTCTGTGGCAGCAGACAAATAACCCACCTTTTAAAATGACTGTAATTTTTTAATTACAATCATCCTTCATGCAGTTTTTGATTGCAATAATTATAATGCTACAGCTACTGGATCTCACCACTTGATAGTTTCCAGTTCTGTAGTCACATCTCTTCTTGCATTTATGGAAATGAATGAAATGTTTATTGGCATACAACAGGACTAGTAAAGTGTAATTAAATTAACCATGGCTTTGACATTATAAATGTACACTGACAAAATCTATAGTGACACCACACATGGCTATTACAGCAGCCTCAGTTAAGAAAATTATAAATAATATATTGGTCCTAAAAAAATACATTTAAATCAGCATGTTGGCATGGCATGAGTGCAACTTCATGAGCCCGGTTTCAATTACATCCTTCAACATCAGTTTTTGTGTAGATTCCATGTTCTCTGTGTGTTCATGGGTTTCCTGTTCAGGGTGAGAGAAGTCCTGTGCTCTCAGTCCCACATAGCACTCTGTGTGTCAGTAATGAGGTCTGGCTTCCTGTAACCTGTTTGACAGTAGATAGATATAAGAATATTTTTATTCACAATATATAAAATGTTATCAATGTTGTCCTGTAGTTAACAGATAATAAAGTTCCAGATTATACCAGATAATGTTTTGGCAACTTGCAAAGCATGTTCCTTTTATTTTTAATGAAGCTATATACTGTCTGAAATGTAGTACAGTGGTCCATTAAAGTAATGTTGGTTCAGTCAGAAGAACATATTGCTTGAAAAAAAAAGTTTGATCCTTTGAGGTGCTCCTGCCCTTGAGATTAACACGAGTCATATATTGTTACTTCCCTACTGGACAAACACAAGAAAGCAGGTGGAGGCTGAGTAGAAGGAGGAATCCAAAACCTTCAACACTACTGATTACTTGAGGAAATTAGAAACAGTATACCTTGCCCCTCGTTGGATGTTTTGTGATTAATTAGCAAATGAATACTATGTACATATCTGGAGATCTGGAGAAGAGATAATGTATGGGGTAAGGGCGGTGATGTGGCTTTAAGTTGTAAGGTGGGAAAATGAATTCCAAGTGTGAGCCACAGCCTTACTACATCTTCACTAGGCTATTCCATTGCTTTGGCACATCACTTCTTTTCATTACAGTACATCTTGCAGGATTTCTACCCAATGATTAACAAAATCTTCAATTTATTTTTTAATGTATAACCAGAAAGAGATGGAGATGGGACCACAGTCACAAGGGTTATCATTTCTAGAAATGAGAGAAAAAACACCCTACAGCCCCCACTAAAAAAGCTGAACCTTTTTCCTAAACAGAGGTCGGATCAAAGGCCGCTACCTTTGCCGGGCTGGTGTTCTGCTGTCATGCCCCCTGGAAGGACCCCTTACAAAACCAGCCTGTTTGTCCCCTGTTCTGACAGGCTGGGCAACAGCGGTGGTGGGAGCAGGAGATCCCGATCTCAGGGATGATCCAGAAGGGAGAGCTGCTCACCTACAACCTGACGGAGTTGATCAAGCCCGAGGCCTACGAAGTTCGGCTTACCCCCATCACCAAATTTGGAGAGGGAGACTCCACCATCAGGATTGTAAAGTACAGTGGTAAGTGCTGCTCTTCACTCAGACCTAACTGGGGGCCTGACCCACAGGGAAAGGGAAATCGGGGCTCTTTCATGGGCTGTGACTTTGTCACTGTTGCACCTGACAGTTTGTCCATGTTACCTTGATCTTTAGTTGGGATTTACACTGCCTCTGTAAAATGTATTATCTTAACATTTAAAAAGGATAAACATACCCAGTCACCGGACAGGTTTGTTGTTAAAACCTGTGACGAGGGATTCTTTAAATCCATTCAAGCTTTTATAAACCGAATTATGAATGGTTTCAGTTGTTAAACAGTTCCTAAATGTGATAACATGTTTACTGCATGTCTATAAAGTACTATAATTGCCAAACATAATGTGACATGTGGGTTAATGTGTGCTTATTATTGGACCTCATCTTCACAAGGTTCAGTATGGGGCCATCGCATACAGTTGTTCAGGTTGTGCAATTCACAAGGGCGCCACATTTAAGTGGGCGCCATTCACATCGTAGATATCTTTATTATTTTGATTTTTTTGTAGTTTATAAACTTTGTTGACTCAAAAGATGGGCAATTTGTATGTTCATTATGACAATTTTCTGGTAGATGGCAGTGAAGTCTTGCTCTAACAAAATCAGTATATTACGGCAATTGTCCGAAAGATGGAAGTAAAGTGTCTTGTTCTAAGAGGGACGATATATATCGTTCCGCTTCGAACAAGTTCGATAATCAAAAGACCTTGTTGATTTAACAACATATATATATACTGTATATTGAAAACACATTTACCAAACATAAATTTGAAACCATTGTCGAATATGCGATGGGAAAGTCGAGTTGATGCCATCATGCCACTATAAAACTCAATTAGATGCAGTATGCAATGCTCTTTTAGAAATTTTGGATGATATTAATAAAGATGTAGATTCTAGAACATAAGCCAAAGGTATAGTTAAAATAGTTAAAATATGGGCTTTTAAATGTATTTGCTCAGTACTAATTTGGCATGATGTTTTAAATAAAATGTTGTACTGTTGCAAGAAAAATGATGCAGGAACCAAAATTCAATGTATATAATGCCCTTGAAAGCATCGAAGGGATTAAGAAATTCTTTGAAGAAAAACGAAGTGATGATGTTTCCGAAAAATATATTATTGATGCTAAACAAATCGCAGAGTCTCTTGACATTGAAGCTAACTTCTTACATGTAGAAAATACTAAAAAAGGAGGAAGAAGATTCAGTTCAACTACGAATCCCACGATCAGCCCATCTATGATCCAAAACTAAATTTCATTTCTTTTTCTATATTGAATACAACAATATCATCTTTAAAAGAAAGGTTTATAATACTGAAAGAATATCATGGCCTTTTCAGTGTTCTTGATGACATATGTAATTTGAAGAATTACAGTGAACGTGAAATACTGCAACAATGTAAAAATGTATAATTGAAATTGAATGATGAACACAGTAAGGAATGTGATATTGATGGGACACCGATGAAGGAACTAAAAACCTTAAGTTGTTTTTTAAAATCTAGTATGACTCCCATTGAAGGATTGCAATATATTTGCAGCATTAATTTACCAGACACATTGTAGTTCTCAGGATATATTTAACTTTGCCAGTACTGGTCGCCAGTGGAGAACGTAGCTTCTCCAAATTAAAATTTAGTAAACACTACTTAAGGTCTAAAATGTCACAAGAAAGACAAATCTAGTCAAATCTAGCGACAATTTCTATAGAAAACAAGATATTGCAGCAAGTAAGCATTGAAACTGTCATAAAGAATTTTGTTTCCACGAAAGCAAGACGTGTAACTATTTCATAACAAATTATTATATACTAGTGACTTTGAGTTCCTAATTATTCTGATTAAAAAATTGAATTGTATTATTTTATGTTCAATAATTAGACTTGTATAATGTATACAGAATTACTTTATGTTTGTTATAATTGTTGTTATTGAGAAATAAATAATATACTAACTAATATACTAAAATTCCTTGAGGAAGGGGTGCCTTTTTCTATTTTGCACAAAGGCAACATATCGGCTAATGGCAGCCCTGGTTCAGTACAATCTAATTTATTACCTCCCGCCATTACACACAGTACAAAACCCTAAAATGTAAGGGCACACTTACAGTTGTAATTTGTTTTATTTTGTTTGAAACATCATACAATCTTAAAATCAGTTGTACCATACAGTTGAATCACAAGAGAAAGAAAATACTATTGACTAATTCCAGATCTAACTAACACTTCTACCTCCAATGATCCTTGAATTTATTAATGACTTTATCTTGAGATAACTTTTAGTTGCACTGTCCTAATGTAAAGAAAAATGTATTTGAAGCCAATATGCTAGTATTATCTTTGTTTGTAATGACCCATAACATACATTATTTTTTCATAACGTAATCAAATGTTTTTTTTTTCAGAATTGCTTTTCAAAATTCCTCCTTACCTCCTTTCCACCAAGAAAATAAAAAACAATATTCATCATTCGTTACTGTTAATATACAGTAGTAGGAATAGGAAAAAAAAGAACCCCCTCTTTTAAGACTTAAGTAATAAACACTATATGATTGGATCAGATTGTACAGGAAAGCATTTCATTTTTTTCATTTTTAATGTACATAGCAAAGCAAAGGGTAGATGACTACTCACTTAAGAGCAGGAACAGCCTTTTGTTGGCAGCTATGACTTTTTTTTTACTTTATTGTCCCAGATGGGAAATTTGCTTTGTAGCTAGGAAAAAAGACATACCGTAACACATTACACAATACGTTTAAGATAAACACTTTACATACACTATTTTCTCAGTCATTGCCATATTTAACACTCAGCAAACCTATATCAAACACGTGTTGCCATTTAAAATTTAAAATTGAAATTGTAATTGTAATTCAGTTTATAAGAGAGCAAAAGGAGTTGTAATGCCTTTGAGTGTTGGCGAGGGTTTTTCAGACATGAGTGATCCCAAAGAGGAACATCATGTGACTTCCACAGAACTTTTTTTGACGAAACTCTTGATCTTCATTTAATTTCCAAACACATACCGAGAAGGCTCCTGCTTACGATCATTATGCAGCACAATTCAGCACAGCAGTTGAGGGTAATGTGATCTTACTGCTTTCCCATGCATATTGGTTCTTCCATAATCAAAGCAGGCTGACTGACTCATAACCCTTCAGCCTACATTAATGCATGAATCGTCAGTGTTTATGAAGTGGTTAATGGTTATCAATTCAAATCTGATTCAACTATGAAATACGCAGATGGATATGTATTGTATTATTTGCTGCTCATTTAAATTTAATTAGGCATTTTAAAAACATTGACTTCCAAATTCAACAAATACTGCTACAAATGAGGAAAAAGGTCTTGTCAAATGCCACACTGAATGTCATGTGCATGTACAGTATACTATACATCACATTACAGTATATTATACAGTGTCTAGATACTACCACCTAAAATGTTGGTTAAGGAACTGAATGAATGGGTTTTTTCTAAGGAGAGGATTTCTATCCTCTCCTTAGAAGTCATTGGGTATCCACTGGGTTTCTTAGAGTCAGGCCTTTTATTGTTAATCTGTACTGTTATAAAAAACTGTTACTGGGATAAAAGAATCATTGACTAGCCATTGATGGCACTGGGCATTGTTAAGTTTTGTGGTTGTTCAGATGTGTTGTCAGAAACCATAAAGAACATTAGTGCTTTACATCCAAATGCATTGCATGATTTTTGGATGCCTGTCTGAAAATCAGTGATATGATTGTACAGTATGTTTGAAAGCCTTTGAGCAGGATGATAATGATTCTTCCATGGCTCAGCTCATTTTATAGATGAAATAACAGTAAAGTCCATGGGAAGTAAAGCATAAGATGCTCTAACTCTAAATATAAATACGATTCAAAATTCCTGCAGGGTTTTCTCATGTAATTGAGGGAACAGCAGGTAGTCAGAAAAGGTAGAAGCACCACCAAGTTGGTTTTTAATGTAACAGAGACACCTGCTGGCTGTGCGAAAAGATGCTATGAGTTCACTGGTGAATTTTGAATTAACTTGGCAGCATCCAAAATTACTGCATTCAGTAAACAATTAATGGAACAGCAAAGGTGCCTTTCAATAGGACTATACTGCAGAGTATGCTTTGAAACACATGGGCTGTAGATTTTCATTCATAAGTGTGGAGAGGGATAATCAAAGATATTAATGGGGGATACGTGGCAGTATGGGGGTGGAATTGCTAAATGGCTAACTAATAAAACTAAAGGAGTCAAAAGGAAAATCAAAAAATGAAAAGACATAATTCTGTTTCAGGGATCTCTCTGCAGAGGGTTATAAGAACATTCAGTGTTGAAAGCACATTGCCATCTGCCTTTGGCGGCTGATGTTTAAAGAGACTCAGACAACCTACTTCCTTTTGTCTCAAGGTGTTATATAATGCCAAGCTTCTGAAAGATGGTGATTCTGACAATTGTGTTGTTTTTTAAGCTGTGTAAAATGTTGAGATAGTCAGTCTGAATATGCTGCTGACCTGATGGCAGTTAAAAGATAGTTTTTCCTATAATCAGTACCAGTACTGCTAACCCATCAGTGGCATCAGGAATGTGCTATGGCTGCCTCTTCCACAGAAGAAACAGAGCCATAGATAAAGATACAAACTGCATTTCAACTGTAAAACCACAAGAGGTAATTGGTTCCAGTGTTTTTTTTCATAGACACAAAGGTCATTTTAAAGGGAGGTTTGAAAGTAGAAAACCCCAATGGTCACTTTTTAAAGATGATTTACATGCTGACATAAACCAGCTTTACGTTATGTGTGAGTATCGTACAACCTCTGTGTATTGCAATTTGCATGATTTCATTTGTACATTAATTATCTGCCTGTTTGCTTGTGTTATTTTGTGGGTCAATCACTCAATTTTCAATTTTAATTTCAATGTCATTTTTCTATTTTCTTTAACCAAGGGGGCAGAAGAACATCAGGTAAAACGTTCAAGCCAACTTCACAGCCTTGTGATACTAACACTTACATTATCTTGCGAGGAACCAGACAATGGCATTTGTGTTTCTGAAGAACTGCCATTGATTTTTTCTGTATAACTCTATCTTTAAAAAATGTGTGTCCCGTTAATGAACACATGTACCGCAGCACAAAATGTAAGCTGGTACTTACAGTATGTAAAGAGATGCATTTTAATGACCTATAGCAAACATCTAAGGGCAGTACTTACTGTAATAACACACTTGTGCCATTTTCTGAATTCATGCTGCTTAAACAAAGCTATCTGTTTCATGAAAGTCAACCCGAGGTAGCTCATTTGCTTCATTACTAACATAAACATGTTTTTTTTTAGTAAATCATAGTATGTGTGCCATACCAAAGCCAGCCAGACATCCCTACGAAACTCCACTCTGTCAGCTGTTGAAGAATTAGTTCCATGATGTCCAACAATGATGTACAGTATCCTGTTAAAAAAGTGATTAGTTACATGTTGCTGTACAGTACTTGAATCAACTCCAATGCGTCTACTAAAAACAGTTATCAGTAAATTTCTGTTCACTGCTGATAAACAGTACATTAAACTTTAACTTTCTGGTTTCGACTAGATATTGTAATAGTTTAGTACTGTTTAGCTTGTTACAAAGCAGTATTCAAGGTTGGTTTATCACTTTGAGTTAAATATCAATGGAATATCAAGGACCCCCAGTTTTACCAGTGGTCTGTTAATACAACAAACTGTCCTTTGATTGAACATTTTTTGGACACAACTTGCTCTTTTCGCAATACTAAATATTTTCTCTTATTGAGTGGTCCCATTTGAGTGGTCTTAAAGGCATTGTTTAAAATTAATCTTCCAATTTATTGGATATTTTAATTATCCTAAGTGTTCCATTATGATGTACAAATGACAAAGCAACAGTACTGTATATCCCAACTAGAAGTGGTGATCATATTCAACAATACGATATGAATCAAGGGTCTTAAAAGATTAAGGAAAAACAAACGCTACACCCTACATATTAGGCTTTCCATCTGCATAAATGACTTTTGTTATTTTGCATAAATGACCTTTGTTTGTTTTTTTTTGCAAAGCTTTGCATCCTGGAGTGATATGTTGAATGATTTATAAATACGCAAATGCATCTGTCTCAATCACCACATGAGACAGATTGTACCATAGTTCCACAGAGCTGAACTGACCTCCAGCACAGACTCACAAGCAATTCATGTTTCTAATCCAAATCCTTACAGGCACGTATATATCCTAAATTGAAATGAAAAACTCTGGCAATGACAGTGCAGCATACCACACACAGTAACTAGACAATCTGTCCTAAAGATTTCTTTCTCTTCCTTTCACTCTTCTGTTGAACAAAAGTCAGCTGGCATTGCCATAATTAAACAGACAGCCCATGAAAGCAGAACTTATTGAGAACACTAAATATTAATCTAAAATTATCATTATTGAAGGGAAATAGGCCCCTTTCATCAGAAATGTGAATCTCTCATGAGTCAGTGCTGAAGATTGAGGCCTTTGATATCAGCAGAACACTGCTAGAGCTCTGCTTCGTAGACTAGTGGTTGAGACAGTCACCACTGCAGACTTATAAATCTTTCAGGATGGCACTCAGTTTCAAAATTTGCAGAGGTGGAAAGGCATAATGAAACGAACCTGGGAACTTGATATGTTAGAATTTGTGTGTAATATTTGGTTTCTACTTTGCCTTAAGACTTGGAAAAGCGATCTGTCAAAGTGTTCAGTACATTTGTACATTTTCCCCTTTCTTGGGAAATTCTTTGAATTTAGAGATTTTTACTGCTTTCAAACAATATTTAAATACAATGTTCCTTAGAGAAACAAACGACCAATACACTCTGCAAAATGACAGGACTGCGGTACATATTTGTATATTACTTCATTGTGTATTTCATTTTGCTCGTCTTAAAATTATATAAAGAGAGCACACATGGTATAAGTGCGTTTCTAGTAGCATGTACTGTATGAGCACTACTGAATTATTATTCTGCTTCCCGTATTTCATATGAAGCGAACCTATCTTGTGCATTAAGCCAACTCTGTGAGGCACTCTTTGTTCTAATTAACTATTTCACATTCTCTGTGAATTCTAGAAGACTGCAGGGGCATTCTGAATTAGGGTGCATTGCCTTTTGACCATTATTATTCTGTTGAATGCATCCTCCATCAATGAACAATGGAAGTTTTGATACTAAAGAAGTTAATACTCCTATGAAAAATATGGACAAAATAATACCATATCTTCTTATTAAACTTAAACTTGATTACATTGAATTTATGTAATTTGTTACATCACATTGATTATTTGTTCATTATTTGGCAGATGCAGAGTTTATAACAGTCTACAGACTGGAATACAATTAGAAAAAACTGTAAAGGACTTAATTATATTTTGTTGCATTCATGATATTACTGTTTGTGTACAGAATGTATCATAAATCCTTTAAAGTATACCGTCTGTTGACAAGGCAGGCATAAAATAGCCATGATGCCTTTTCATCAATGTAACTGATAAATGCAGGATTTAATTCTAAGTTCGTTACAGCCTTTTCATTTGAATCAACTGTCTGTCCTCAGCATAGGGAGGTGTGAGCAAATGTGCTGTATATGTGTGACAAATGTTTTTATGTCATGATTAGACTAAAATGACATCTGGAATAGAACTGCATGTGGCTGTGTTGCCCTGTTCTAATAAAGCATTTACCTTGTGCCAGGTAAAAGCAGGCAATCTGTGTAAAAGCAAGTTAATTGCTCTCTCACAAATAGCTTGATTCCACATTTAACTGCATAACTTACAGTTTATGCATACATTTAGCTTTGAATAGATACTAATATTCAACTTGTGTTGTATACTAAAGTTGATTTGGAATGAGGTGTAGATATATTTGTACATAAATTTACAATCCTAGTCTGCAAGTTCCCTGCCTGTTTTGAGAAAGGTAAAGTATTTATCTTTCCTGGAAGTAAACAGATTGGGGTGCGTTTCAAGCTATCAGTTGAGGGGGACTTGTGTGCAGGCAAAAGGGTTCATATCTACTGCCTGAGCAGGCCTTGGCAGGGCCTGTAATGGCCTTGCAGTTGCAACTATTTGATATGGGGAGTTGTGTGAACTGCTTGGTGGTCATAGCTGATTTTCAGCAAAGGAGTTGTTTCTTCAGCCCAGTGGATCCGCACATAACCTTTGTTCTGTAGCCAGAAACAGAAACTATCCCTGCACAGCAGACCCCTACCTTGTTCTCCTGGTCCAGTTATTCAGATATGGCAGTAATTGCATTTGACTGGACTGACAGATAGCCTGACTCAGTTAGGGGAATATTAGATGTTATTTTGATTAAATGTTTGCAGCTCTGCTGGAATCCCTGCAATTATGAAACCAAATTAAATGTCTCTCTATCACACACAAAAAAAAAATGTACCGGAGCAAGGATGAAAAAAAAAATGTACAGGGGCTAAGTAAGAATTCAGTGTTCGTCAGCCTTAATAACGTTCCTCAACAGTGCTGTAATTGGAAGGTCAGCCTTGGAGTACATCAGTTTGTCAGCTTTTTTAGTTCCTATGACAAGGCTGTGTGACCTCTCACTATGCTGTTTCAAAGCAAAACTGAAAGGAAAATAAAGAAATTGTGCATTGTTTCCTTTTGTAGTTATGTTTCTATGTTTTATACTGCTACTGCTTTAGGGCCTGCAGGGACTACAACAGCAATACATGGCTCTGGATGTTTTGCATTTGTTACAGGGCTGTGATTAAAATGTATTCAAAAATAGGTTGACATCAGTTATACTTTATAGTCATTTTAGATTGATTGATATTCATTCTTTTACTTTCACCTACCACATTTTAAATGTAATTATTAATCGCCATCTTTCCAATTTTAACATCCTCTTAGCTGAACACAAAACAATCTGAATGAGTTAAAAACTGGAGTTTTCCAGATATGTCTTAGTGAATAAGGTTTCTATCATCACAGGCTGTAGATTAACAAATAAAGATCGTTATATAACAGTTTCAGCTACGTGCGCATATACAGAATATAAACTCAAGGTTAACAGCTGTCATGTTTCGATAATCCGGGTTCAGTCATCCCCGACATGATGCAACCACAACAGACCTTCACAATCTTGGTTTCAGACGTGATGTTTCTGCTGTATTTGGATAGTGCACGGAAATCAGCACCCAGAGAGTAACACTCTGTCATCGGGCTAGGAACATGAAAATGAATGGATAAATGGCAAAGACTTTGTTTTAGGAAGTGCTCATTGCTTGTTATTTAGTCAGAACAAATGCAGTCATGAAAGTCTAAGAGAACCTGTGGTTGCAAGAAAGTCCCTGGGGCATAATGTGTGGAAATCAAAATACTTTTTTTTTTAAATGACTCCGTAGTACAGTCCTGGAAAATAAACACATTTTAAAAAGGTGAGGATCAAGTTATTGACCTAGAAATAGGAGTCTGCAATTGCCCTTGCCTTTGAAGAGAGCTACAGATTACTCTAACACTTTCCTTCTACATTGCACTAATTGTAAACACCCAGGCACAGAGTTCAGGGAGACCTATTAATTAGACTCTACCTGATCATGCTGCAGGCTTTGCCAAATATAAAACAGCTGTTATTTTTGCAGTTGCAGCAGTTAATTTTTCTTGAGTTTGAAACCTGTTACAGGAATTGAAAAAAAAGTATTTTTTTCCCTACATTTCACCTCAGTTATGCTGAGGTATCTTATTTTTAAAATAAAGTTCCCACCTTATTTTTTTCTTTAAATTAATGGGAAGAACATAATACTGTACCTTCAATTGATATCTAGAGAGAAAATGATAGATAAAAAAATTACAATTTTTGGAGATGTTGATCGTTTTTGGCTGATTCCCAACATTAATCCTGTAATTTTTATTCACTGAAATTTAAAAAAAAAATTGTTGTGAAGCTTGAAATGGTTTTCTTTCAAAACATTTTTTGAATGGTGTTGTCAAATATTTACATCAAAGGATATGAAATAGATATTTTTTTATTTTTACACAGTTTGGAGGAGATAGTCTATGTGGTTATGTCAGCATTACAGAGGGGTCAAGGCAGCTATAATATCATAAGCAGTAAATTTGAGAGAGAACAAAACTCATTCATTTCAATTAGTTCTAATAAATGAGTAAACTGGTTGCTTGCACAAAGAAAGCACTGTAAAAGTGTGGAGAGGAAAGAAAAATATCTCATTCCACTGTTCTGCATCACTGGCCACTGATGTATAAACATACTGTTACAAATGGGGGATAACGAAATTAGAGAAATATCAGGAAACTGAGCTGATTAATCAATAAGTAAATTAAATAATCATAACACCTGCTTGTAAAGATTTCTTTCAAGAATATACCTGAGCAGTTGGTATACAGTAGTTAGTGGCACATTAATTATTTGTTCTCTGGTACAGTTTTGGTGAAAAGAGTAATAATTCAGCACAATTGGTTAAACAACAATGACGATAGACACACTACACTACACACAAAATAAACATACAATACACACATTTTCCTATGTACAGTAGAGGTTTACAGAGAAGGCGTCCCAGAGGCCTAACCTCCTAACCCAGGCTCTTACCAAGTATTCAATTCTTAACACCTACAAAATCCAGAATAAGAGACAGACTGCCTTCTAAACTAAATACTCTAGAATACAAGCTGCAGCTAAATCTCTCTCTCTTTACAAACCCAGATGCCACAAAATAAATAGGAGCCTATCTACCTATTCTAAAATGAACCCACTTAAGCAGGAGAGGCCATTTTTAAATAAGAGATTCTTCACTCAGGAAATCCCCAAAACTACAGAATAGCAAGCTGTCTTAGCAAGGCTCAAATACCTAGCACCAATCGGGTCTTTTAGATTATCTCGGGCAAGGACCTCTCGCCTGGCCCATGTTTTATGTCCTCCTCTTGTCTCTATTTGTCTTCTCTCCTGTTATATCCTGAGCTGATCCTATATGGTGTCTTTCCGGACTGTTGATTTACACTTAATCATTTACCCAGAGCTTAATTAACTAAGGTACACCAAGGTAAAATGTACAATTGCTTTGATCACTTAATCTTAACCCCCTACATCTCAGCAAACATCCCCCTTGCTTTGAAGCAGGAAATGTTGATACTAGCTAGGCATTACCCATTGTTTCTAGATTCTTTTGAGACACATCTATAGTCACCTTCACCTGTAACAATACAGTAAATATAAATTAATGATAGCAACATTTAGTTGTTTTCTAATTCTAATTCTTTCTAAATGAAAGGTGTATTCATGAAGGACATGGATATCCAACAGTATGAAAGGTATTTTCTGTGGGAGCTTGCATCCCTAAACTGTCCTATGTTTTTCTCTTTCCCTGCACTTTGAAACATGACTTGTCCATCTGGAATGTAGCCTTGTGTGGCTACTGCTCACTGGATTTTTATCACCATTTGCATTTCAAGGTTATGGGTTTTAAAGACAGATGGATTGGTGGTGGTCACCAAGGTACTGCTTAGGTTAAATAAGAACTGGTCAGGTCTGAGAAGATAAGCAAAGATAGGCCTGGTCCAACTAGACTGAAGGACCTCCAGGGAACGTTATTCTATAAGCGGTGTTGGTGGACCAGTAGGTGGCACTCTTCGCTGTGGACCATAATTTCTCTGACTTTTTTTTGTGTAGCTGACTAAAATTGCTGTACCCACTATTTTGTTTTTGTGTAAACATCAGCACTTACATTAACCAGCATCCAGAAGATGGCTTTTGAAAAATGATCAAGCTAAAGATTTTCACATCAGTCTCCAGCTGCAATAGTAGAGAAGATAAACCAAATATGTTTCCGGCTCTGTTGATGGAAGGTGTCTTGCTGCTAACAGAAAGTGTGGGCCTGTGATAATTAGTGGGTTAAATAATGGGCGTCAGACTGCAAGGACTGCTCAGCATCTTTTACAGACTTTCCCGAATTCCTGTAAACGCATCACACATTCATCACACATTCAAGTAGTGTCTTTAAAAGTTAATTATGTGCTGTAATTCAGAATGTTAACAGCAATCTCCAGCATGCACATTATATAGATGTGTGCAGTTCATAATATACTTCAGAGTACAAAGCATAATGCTAGTGTACATACTGTATTTTGATGTAAAGATGACAAGTTTTGGAAATTTTACAGTATGTTGATCAATAAGCATTATCATATTTTAAATGGATTTTAATGATTGGTCAGGTTTTAACCTTGTCTCTCTGTGTTTTATTTTACAGCTCCCACAAATCCACACTTAAGTGAGTATCCATTATTAATTCACAGACTCTTATATTTTTACATTTGTTATTAAACTTATTTTCGTTGTTCACTAGCTATGAGCTAGTATGTTTCAATAAGATAATTATTGAATATGATCATTCAATAAGATCTAAAATTAGTTTTTTGAGTTGTTTTTATTGAGGGCTTTGATAATAGGAAACCTCCAGCTTTCTAATAATACAAAAAAAAATCAATGTTATTTTATTTTCTATCTAAATGGTCTTCAAGTTGTTCCAGTCTTGGTCCCTGTGAATATAGTATCTTATTATTTTCATTCCATCTGAGCTTTATGTTGCTTAAGTAAAACCTACAGTATATTCGACTGATAATGTGGTTGATTAAAACTTTTCACCATTTTCAGATTCTAAAACATCACCGATTTTCAGTTACATAAGAAATGTTGTTGAAAAAATTGGAATTTAAGTGCCAGAAACAATTAAACAATACCAATAAATCCAATAAATACATATGTAAATTCAATTAGTGAATAAAATGTGTATGAAAATGTGACTGATTTCATTTTAGTTTAGAGGTCAATAATAATGAGGGGTTTTTAAGTTAATTCCCAGACCTAATTTGTGTACAGTATTTTAAACAGACACATAGAAATGTGATAGAATTGTGTACATTCTCTTTAATAAAAGATACATGACTTAGTTTGAAGGTGTCTACTGAATCATCCAAAACATTTTCTAAATATCATAGATTTATCATTTCTACACATCATGCCAGTAAAGGTCTATATAGTCACACCATCCACACATGATAAATGATTTGCCTTTTGCCAGGGAATTAATGTCAAATCCTCGATTTGAGCACACTGAGCATAAAAAATAAAGAAATCTGCCTATGGGCAACACAACAGGCAACAGCTCTACATTTGCAAGCTCTGTGGTAACTGCAAATGACAACATCTTTCTTTTCATAGGAAAACACATCTCTGAGATGTACTTCCATCTGAGCTTATTAAGGAACCTAATTGACTAACATGGCACTGGTGTGAAACACATTCAAAACCACAAAACTTGCTGAGGATAAAAGAGGAGAAGCCTGGCTTCACAACATGTCTTGGCAGTGCTTTATGATTTCATAGCATATGCATTCTTCCTTTTAAAACAAACAGCACTACCTTTCTCCAGACTCTTTGCACAAAATACAATTCAGTTTTTGTATAGTCTCTGGGCTCTTCATCAGAATTTAGATTGTGTCTGGTTAGAGAATAGTGTAGAATCACACTTTATTTATTCTTAATGGAAGGTGACTGTGCACACTGACACAAATACAATAGTGTACTGAATGGTTTGTAACACTAAGAGAACATATGCATATTTCTAATAAAATACAGATTCTACTACTTTAAATAGGTTTCAAAGGTTTGATATGATAAAACCATTTTTTGGCCTTCAAGTTAAGAAAAATCTTTAGTGTCCTTTAACCAAAGTTTCTCAGGTTTAGTCAGGTAATGGACAAAGTATCCTACCGCTTAGCTTACTGGACTTAACCTTAGTTAATATGTGAATGGCTATGTATGCCTCATTAAGAAGAGCTATCCAAAACTGCAATGCATTTCTAACAAGAAATCTTCTTGACTTCTTACCAGGAGAATTCCACTGTAGCTTTGAGGAAGAATCAATCTGTATGTTCACTCAAGACAAGAGTGATGATTTTGACTGGACGAGGCATAATGCAGCAACAAGGCAAATAATGTACACCCCCAACACTGGTCCCAGCAGTGACAGGACTGGATCCAAGCAGGGTGAGTCCTCCTACTGTAGCTTTGAAGTGCAAATGTGTTGGTCACACTGGTGATATGCAAAACCTACTGTATGAGGCCATAATCGTGAAACATGTATTCCTCACTAATTGTACACCTGTGTTTTTAAATGAGAAGGCAATGCAGTGATCCTGAAGTGTGCACACATTTGTCCACACAAATGGTTTCTGGATATGACCATTTATAGGGCGATGTTTCCCCTTCTGGTTGAGTGGACTATTTTGAGCAAACAGTGATTTTTGCTCAGTTTCAGTCAATGACATATGGTACCTGTGCACAGCTTCCCTTTGGAGGAATGTGTATGGTCAACTTTAAAAAAATCCCTGTAAATATTCAGGTCTTTCTTGGCACTAGAATTGTGAAGATGAAAGGTGCTGGTTGCATTAGCAGCCTGGTCTGAGCTGCTGTGTGCTAAGGTCAGCACTCAGGTAGGGAGTACTTGACAGCTTCTGAAACAGGCTGGTGCTCCATACTGCCTCATACTGTGGGGTTCTTCAGGTTTAAAAAAAAAAAACATTTTTGATGTAATAATGAGAGCAAGGTCTTGATCACATGTATGATGTACCTTTTAGAAACCAATTTGGTCACAGCACAGGTCACAGCTTGCTCTAAGATCTTCCAGACAATAGGGAGATTGGTCAGTAGTGGGCTACCAGAGGGATGTGTTTTCCAGGTTTGGAGCTGATGATTCCTGTGTAGAACTGGGATAGCCAGATACGATCCTGGGGGATCGTGTTGTGTCTCAGAAATTCTGGTGCTGTTCTTCCAGCGGAAGACATAGAAAACCTGCTGGATTCTGAGAACTAGAGATACTGTAGGTAATCCTGGTTTATGACATTAACATCATCAAATAACAATAACATGACAAAAGGAGGGACAGATGTTATATTACAAGCAGATGCCTTTGTGAACATTACTTTTAATTGTAAACCCTTTCTCTGAATAACAATTTTTATTTGTGAATGCAAAGGAAATATTAAGGAGGTTCTCACATGCAGCTTGATGTAATTCATATAACCTTCCATGTTACTCTCTGAGGTGGAACAGATGTTGTAATCTCTACTCTATTCAAGTCTTTACCACTAAAAAGCACAAAACAGCAAAGAAAAGTAGAATGCAAATCAACCCCCAGCAGCAAGATGTTATCTCACAATATGTAGATATAGTGTAATCCAATGTAATTGAATATTCAGACAACACATTGTGGGGTCTGCAGTTTCAACTCTAACTAAGAAAATCCCTTCAAATAGGTGGTTATATTCTGAGTCTGGAATCACCAAAGAAAGCTTTAGACAGAGACAAAAAACCTGACCTTGACCTGCTTTAAAATGACTTTAAGGCTCTTTGTTTCACGCTGTCGGTGTCTTGCTGTCTCACAGCCCTCTGCATAGCACAGCACAGCACAGCACAGTCAGTTAGGCAAGGCAAGCATTTGTCACACAAGATGTTACAGGACTTAAGCAACTATGCTACAGTGCACACTAATGCAACCAATCAAGTTTCATTTAAAAAAAAAAGAAATCTGAATATGGATAGTGAACATTTACTGGATTTTCACTATATGTTAGCTCCAGAAAGCAATAAATTGTTCTACATACAGTACAGTACATAGCTGTTACTCATCTCTTGCTCATGTGGGTGCTGGAGTTAATTGCTCCAAGGATTTCATCCAGCTGTACTAGGAGACAGGGTATTAGTATGGCTGGGTAGCTCATTCCTGCCTTTGTATACCATTTTGTGCAGAGAAGTACCTCCTGTCAGTTTTTCCCCCCCTGGTTTCCACTTAGTGTAGGTCCTCTGGTTTGTGTCTCACTGCCGATCCAGAGGAAGTCCATAGAGCTGACTTTGCCCATTCTTTTGGTTATGTTTAATAATTGAATAAGAGCTGTTGAATGATGGAGAGAATACACCATATTGTAATGAAAGCAATTACTAAACTGCAAAAACAGTAAAAAAATGTAGACGGTATAATACAATAACATATACTGTACAATATGAATTTGTTGATTAAAATGAACATATTTTGGCATTGTTGGTGGTACTGTTTCAATATAAAGAATTTTTGTTGTTAATTTAATTTAGGAAATTGCTAAAGGCAAGATAAGAATATACTGTAGGATTGTTTCTGTTTTATGTTAATGCAGGACATGAGCTTTCAACATTCATATTTGTTAGATACGGTGTATACTGTATATGTATATAACAAATGAAATTAGCTTGAATTAAAAACATTTAAAAACTGAAACTGAAAAGATGTGTAGCCTTTCTTTTCATATGACAGTATACTGTAATATAGAAGCTTTCCAGAAAATGTTAGAAGCCATGGATACTGTAAGAATGGTCTGTATGAAATCCTTTGCACAATGAATAATGAATCCTTGTCAGTCTCTGGCCTTTTAAAGACATTCCAAAGGGGAAAAAGGCAAAATCAGGTAAAATTATAAAGGGACTAAAAGAGATTCACATCATTTCACTTTCATAAAATTTTAAAATAACCCTTTAAAAGAACTAATTAATGAGGTGCTTTCCCGAGGCAGTAATTGGTTTAAACAATCTTGTTTTCTAAAAATTTGCAGCAAAAAAGTGGTAAATAATGCATTTTTTAATTACCCAAGGTTATACAGTAAAACTGCTACTGTCCAGTGTTTCATTTGATTTCATCTGCACAATGCTTGTGTTGTTCAGTGCAATCAAGGTGAAATCATTCCCATTTGGGTTTAATAATGCAAAACTTCCTTTAACTACTGCAGATACGGGTTTGTACAGCTCTTAAAAAGAAGGTTCTGTACAGTACTGTAAGTGAAGGGATTGATGCTTTGTTAATGATTATGGTACAGTCTTAAAGGGTATATTGTAAAATACACAACTGTTTTTATATGATAAAATATGACATTTAAATAATTTCAATTGTCTGTTGGTACAGTACAGTATATACAGTACAGTTGGTACAGTATACTCATCCCCGCTTTATTAGTACTTTGCTACACTTCAGTTGTATTAAGCTCAGTCAAGGAAAATGAAGGAATTGTCATTTATTTATGCAGAAAGAAATGCTGTGGAGCCTTTTCTCCCTCTCAGTTTTATTTCTGCTGCACTGAAGAAATAGTTTATGTAAGCGAAATATAAGATTTGGAACATAGCTTAAAAATATCCAACAGATGTTGGTTCTGCCGATTTCTTCAAAGCTGTGCCGAAGCCAAGGCTGCCTTGGAGGCTAGCATTGCGTGGAGTAATTCACTGATAGTAGACATCTCAGCTTGTGCAGGAAGTGCGTCTGGGATTTAAGGTTACAGGTTGTAACGATTGCTTGGGATTATCTATTCACAATAAGTCTGCAAACTTGCCAAGGAGCTTTCTGGTGGGGAAAAAAAACAACACACAGTTTCTGGAGATCCTGGGTTTAACAGGGCTGTTTTAAATACATTGCGTGTGTTTTTTAAAGGCCTGCAGAGAAGTTAAAGAAATATGTGCAAAAGCCATAGCCTTGACAGGATTTATGGAAGTGTTCTACTTCCAAGATCAATTCAAATGTCCAATCTCTTACCAGTCCCTCAGAACGGGTTAGAAAACATCAACCTAAACAATAATTACTACGGTACCTACCAAAGCAGCTAGGTTTGTGACAGTTCAGTTTGTGCTTTTTGCTGTCCTGCAGGTTTCTACATGTACATTGAGACCTCTCGCCCTCGAAGGGAGGGGGAGAAGGCACGGCTGCTGACCCCCATCTTTAACGTGGCCCCAAAAAATCCATATGGAGCCACCAATTCAGCCTACTGTTTCAGCTTCTATTATCACATGTATGGAAGACATATAGGTAAGTAAGATTCTGACCAGATATATGATGTTAAAACAGCAATTCTAACTGTATTAAGAAAATTACATGAATTTGGATGCACATAAAATAAGCATTTTACTGTGTGTATTTTTGATATCATTGTACAGCCTTATTTGGTGTAAATAGGTTCCTTGAAAAAGCTCCAGAGTCTCATGAGGGAGAAGAGTAGATTCTTCTTATTCTTTTTGGAAAGTGCAGTGCCCTCCACCATCTACTGTACGTTATTAGTCTTCTTCCCTGGCAGCTACTGAGATTTTTTTCAGTGGATGAGGCAGGAAGCACAACTCTCTTTAGATTGTCCTGCATGGATGTCTGGTCAGAGGGGAGAGGAAATCATTTTCTCCCGAAGATCTGCCGCTAGTCTGCATGACGTGAGAATCTGAGTAGCCAGTGTGCTTCTTTGGCCCTGTCAAAGACGGTTTCGCTAAAATGCTTTTTTCTGCGCACTTGGAAGTCTAGAGAAGAGTTTGTGTTTCAGCACTGGCTTGCAGTGATTGGCGTGAGTGCTGGGTAAATTGCTGTGCTGTTACGTGCATGGGGAGAAAATATTTTTCAGCAGCAGCTACAGACTGCACAGACTAAAAGTGTCTGCAACTGATGTCCAAAAAGCACTCTCAGCAAGTCATGCTAGCAAAGATAAACTTATAAGGATATATTATATTAAAGGCAAAGTCGTCCTGTGCTGGGAAATTTGACTCTCCACAGCGAATGTGGTATTCTGCATATTATCCATTCCATGTTGCTTATCCAGAAGGAGGTATATTGACAAGGAAAATCAGTTGCGGATAAACAGTAATGGTTAGTTGTGCAAGCAGAGTAGGCTAAGAATCTGACACTTCCTGGTAAAGGTTAGAGAGGTCCTGACATTTCTAATTTGTTTAGATTGATTGCACTTGCTAGTTCAGGCTGTATCCTTTGCCTTGCCGATGATGGGAGTCTGGAAATGCCTCTGGGCAGATTTCGATACACTTGACAGAATGCAAGGTTATATTTTGTTGTTTCCCAGTATGGACGCTTAAACGTAAGAACATAAGAAAGGTTACAACTGAGAGAAGGCCAATTTTGCTCCATGTAGTTTGTTTGGTTGCTAGCAGATAATCGATCTGAGCATCTCACCCAATGCTACGTACTTAATTCTTTGTGACATTTCTGTTAAAATACATTTTATTCTGTTTTTGTGTTATATATTCACTATGCATTAATAAGCACTTTAAAAGATCTACTATTTTTGCAGAGTCTGCTAATAGTATAGAATAGTTGAAACTACTGCTCTTGTCTTTTTCCTAGCAGGTTATGTTAGTTTGCAGGAACTCCGAGTTTAGAATCACCAATTATTTTTAATTATATACCCACTGATCTAGAAGACTCTACTTCCCTGGCAGCAACTTCTGTATGCTCAGAAGAGAATGAGACATGTAAACTGGCTCCTCCAATACTCATTTCTATACAGTTATTCATCATTTTACACACAGTCACAGTTGCTCCCTGAGCTGCAAGAGCACTAGTAGAGTTACTGTGCCCTTACCCCAGTACCGTATCCGGGCCATTAGCTTCCACTTGAAATCTACCATGCAATCATGAAATACATAAAATGTACAGTATATGTGTTTTTCTTCGATTTTTTCCTGTTAATATTTTTGTATTGCATTAAAAAGGTCTCCAAGTGAATTACATACTGTACATTTTCTTTCCTTTCCTGAGAATATGCTGCTCATATTAAGCATCTCCTTCCTTCTATGCAAATCTGAAGAATCTTATCAAGCTTTGGAAAGAGTTTTGTGTTTTTCATAGGCATTTTTGTTTTTTTTTAAGGCACTAACATACCGTCTATTTACAGTTAGTTATTGAAGTAATTTGTGAAAACAGACTGGTCCTTGATTTAGGAAATCAAATGAACACCCTTGATAATTTACACAAGAATGTAATAAAAAGTATTGGGCACAAATGCATAGATATATATTTCATATTTAGCTTACCATCCCTCTGGGCCTTGGCTTATAATATATTATCTTTTATTTTATTCATTTTAATACCACCATAAATATTCAAGTTAGATGCATAGCAAACTATTCCCCAGTTTCAAGCTTGCTACCCCTTTGTGTTCCAGGCAGGGGAATCTGAATTGGTTTTTTGTTTTCTTTCATCATTGAGATTCAAGAGATAATTGACCCACAAGAGCAGGCTTGTGATTTGAGTTTCAAGACTTTTTGCAAAGTTCGCTGCAAGAGTTCCCGTTCCATTTGTTTATAGTGTCATACCTGACAAGACTTTGGAAATGGAACCATCCAGATAAGGCCAAACCTCTTTGTTACTCCTAATAAGTGTTGCTTCATGCTGGCCTAATGCCAAGGGAGCATTCAAAGAGTCATTTTAACTTTTATTATCCACAGTATTACTGCAGTTCCTTTTTCATCGGTCATGCCTGAATTTCTTCTTTAGTGCTTTGTTTCCACATACAGTATAATTTATTGAAGTAGAAAAAACATTATTAGTTGCGTTTCGCCTGACTGATGAATTCACTTAATATTCTGCTTGATACAGAATTAAAATTAAATAAGTATCAATATTTAAAAATACATGTAAAGAAAAATAAATACATTCAATAAATTAAAATCTTTTTTGTTTTGGATTTTTGATGCAACAATTCACAATCTTCACAATTCATTCATTAACAAAAACCTGTGGAATTATCTTAGGAACATTATGTTACAATTAATAACAAAGGTCTCTATTTCATAATGTGTCTGTTGTCAAAAAAAAGAACGGATTTGTCATCATGACTTTTGCCATGTGTGATTTATTTTTAGGAAATGATGAATAAAAACACATACTGGAGTTGAAGAGATGGGTAATATTGTCTGCTTCAAAATTTCTCTTTCATCTTTAGACTTCTATAGCTTATAGAGAAAGACACTGATTAATTCAGAAAAATTGAGAAAAAATGTCCCTTTCTAAGTTAGGAAACCTGTGATGTAATTCGCTGTAGATGATTTTTTCCTAGAGACAATTTTCAGTCTGTATGTGCTGAACTTGAATATCCCACCCATTATTCACCTTTATATACAGTATCTGCTCTGGACAGACAGCAGCACTTGAGTGATTGTGGTGGCCCCATGACCTGTACTACAGGCTCATTGTTGTAATTTTCTGCCTCACAAAGCTGTTTCACCCTGCCTGAATAGAAAATGTCAGTGTATTCCAGCTTGGTCCTTATGTACAATTCCAGCACTCAACACAATCTGTTTATTTCTTTGGAAAGACATACTGTACACAGTTCCTGGTTCAAGTGCAGGCACATCTAAAGGGAAGCCTCTTTTTAAAGCGCTGTACTGTACATGTTGACTTTGAATTTATTTCCCTCCACTCACTGTCTTCTTTTCATTGCCATAAAATAGTTGAAAATACTTAGGATATGGCATTACATTGATGGATGTGCTTAGTACACAATTTTCATTCTGCATGTACAGAGGAGCTTCACTTGCTGAAAGTGGAATCATCTATAACCGTTTGGAACCGTTTTTTTTTTCTGTTGTGCAGTGTTATCCTTGACTCTGAGAGTATTAAGCAAAGGAGGCCAACTAATTTTTGTTTCGTTTTAAAGTATAGATAATAGTATAAAGTAAAGACTTTGTACTTCTGGAACCAAAGTTTTTTTAACTGTATAGGTTTATTGCAGCACTACCCCCTTGTTTGCTCGTGCCTGTCTGATCTAAGAAGCTAAGATAATGCTAGATCTTGTCAGTACTGGAAAGGGAGGTCTCCAGGTCCTGACAACTAGCTTGTGTTACAATAGGTGGTGCTCTTCCCTCGGAACCAGAATTCCCAAACCAGCGCTACAGAATTGAATGGTGGCCAGGGAACACATTGCTGTAGGATGTGCCATTCTCCTGATGAAGCATTTAAGTCCTGATTATGTGGACATTAATGATCCCTTGGCACATGTAAGAATAGGAGAGTTAACCCAAGTGGGCATATACAGTTTGACCTCCCTAAATATCTCTCTTAATTGCAATAGTGAAAAAAATCTCACTAAGTCTTCTGTGTAATGGAACTGCTGGCTTATATTGACAGTGGTGAATGAAGTGGGCCCCCCTCTTGTATTCAACTTTGCTATTGTACTGTATACGGAAGCTGACTTTGGAATCCCTGGGATGAAAAGTTACTATTTCAGTAGTTCAGTTAAGTGCTATTTACAATACAACTAGTCAACAAATATAAAGGGATAGCATATTTAATACTGAAGGGTTTGGCACTAACTCTCCTCAGGCTAAGGTCATGTCTAAGAAAACCCTCTCGGTTACGAGGAATGAACCAGGGAGCCAGCTTCAAGGGTTTGGTTGGGGTGAAGGAATGAGTGCTAGAACAGATGGGCGCCAGCAGGTATTTATGCACAGAGAGCGAAAGTGTGAGATGCTTTGATTGATACTTTGTATAATTTTCAAATATATGTGGGCCTCTGTCTGTTGCACATTAATTGTGCAAGCTTAAACATTTGCAGCAGACCTCAAAAAAGTATATCTACTTTTTGAGGCTTTCCTAACTTGTATATGGCCTGTTTTAAGTGCATAAAGGTACAAATAATTAGATTTCTCTGTTGGAAGTTGAAACCCACAGCTTGTTAGACTAGAACGCAAGGTAAATTTGTATTGCAGAGGGATGCATCTGTTTATCAGTGTTCCTTTGTAGTCGAGTGTTCACCCACACTGACTGATGTCAGTCCTGCGAGACTTAGCTTTACTTCCAGACTACAGTGCTTTTTGTTTGATTTCCAAATATTCGCTTTGGTGTCTCTTCAAGTGCAAGAGACACAGTCAGCTGGAGATTTGAAACATCCCAGGTGCAGAGAAACAAATAAGACAATCACATATTTGAAATGCAACATCCAAAGTGCATTTTGCCTGCCCATGTTAACCTCCTGTATATGCTGGGAGTTTACAAGTGTGTACTCTGAGATAATTACCCCTGCTCAACACAGACAACATCTCAGGATTAGCAGGTTTTTTTGCCATTTATCTGCTACATGCTATTTTTCATATACAAGTTTGACAATGCACTGTTTTATTGATGTTAGCTGACTTATTATAAAAAAAAAAACAAAAGGAAATCAGATGCATATGCATTTAAATCCCTCAATAGTACAAGCTACATAAATCTGAACTTGCTGAAATAAATGGTCAAAGTATGCGGAATGCTCAAATGTGGTTTGATGGGTGAGCTATTTTTTATTTTAATATAAATTGTAAACCATTATTTTCCAGATAACTTATGGCATTCTGATTTAGTGAAAGCTCAGTGTTTAGGTGATGAGTTTGGTGAGGTTTGCTTTGTTTTGTGAATGCGTGGGCGGTAATTGAGGTGATCCAAACGCTCAAATAGAATTGTTAGGGAAAGTGATGACCACTGGGTTCAACACTAACACATTTCGCCAAGGGCTGTTTCACACCTTGGAAGTATATATAGAATTGAGGTGTCAAGTGGTGAAGAAACAGCAATGGGCTCAGCAAAAAGGAGGACATAGCATCTAATATGAGCTGGAGAAAACACCAAGCAAAGCAAAAATCCAAGCTAGCACACTGAAATCAATAGCACACTTATTAAATGGTTTACACTTGCCTTGTCAGGATTCTGAATGCCTTCTCACACAGCCACATGACACTCTTAGGCAATGGGGAAATGTTATTTTCCAGTACTTTTCCAAGTTACTGCCCTCTGATAGTCATACTGAACCACTTGCAATGTACTCTAGATGCTTTCCACAGTGATGCTTCTTGGTAATCCTGATAATAAGTGTGATGCTCTGGGATCCAATTGTGTACCATATGTCTAACTGAAGACATCGGTTTTATAGGAAGTAGTTTTATTTTCATGAGAATATAAGGTTATATTTCATCATCTCTAAGGAAAATGAGTTACAGCTTTCTTTAGAAACGATTGAAGTGATTGCACACAAATGCCGGATTAAAAGGTAATGCAATAAAACCAAGAAATTTACTAAATAGCCATTTTCCAGACTTACAATGAATTGAAAACTATACAAGATTATCTAAAACATAAAAGAAAGTAGAAGCAATTAATATGTTAAACTTCCCCCTTCCCCGAAATTTGTGTCCTGTGTAGGCACACTGAATGCATATCTACGACTGAAAGGCCAAACGTCTTTAGAGAGCCCCATGTGGACATTAAGTGGAAATCAAGGGGAACGCTGGTGGCAGGCCAGAGTAAACATTCACCCCACAAGTTCCTTCCAGGTGAGTTCCTTCTGGATATTCTTTCAGGGATGGACCTTGCCCACTTCAGAATGTGGCCTTGACTATAACGTGACACATAGTGGTGGTACTCACTGCCCTTATTAAGTTTAACTAGTATGCTATGAAAAAGTGTTTGAAGTGTTGTAAAATAGTGTAGCTGTTGTAATGTGTGTTAAAGGGGAACTGCAGTTCCGATTTCTCAGACCGGTTATTAAACATAGGTAACAAAATAAATTCCTAATTGACGTAATAGAAAAAAAAACCCCACAAATGTCATATTAAGCACAAAATTGTGAACTTTGTGAAAGTACTGTAAGTCGCCATGTTGTTGAAAACTCGCACTTGGGATCCCACAAATGGCAAAGGGATGCGACCTGCTCACTAGTCTCCCAAACGACTAATATAGTGTGATGTACAAGCGAATAAATACAGGTTGTGCAGCAGACATTTCACCCCAGAAATGTTCCAATGTGATCTGCATGTGGAGTTAACAAGTAAGTAGCATTTGTCGGCAAAACGCTCTCGAAATTGAAAGCAATATTTCTATTGGACTGAAAGAGATGTGTGCACAAGCCTGCTTGTTTACAGTGTCATAGGGCCGCACACTTCACCGAACATTTTGTCTCATTTGGAATTGGAAATTTGGTCTTTTGTGGGATGTCAATTGGAGGTTTTACAAAGTACTGTGTACTGTACATTTTACTTCCATTGTGGTTTGAAATGCGCTCATCAGTGCTGATTCCTTCTAACCCTGAAATACGAAAAAGTGTTGCAGTTCCCCTTTAAAACAGAACGAACACCATAGGAGGACAAGTGAAAAAACAATTCAAATAAAAAAAAACTATTAGAAATTATAGAAAACGAGTCAAAATATCTTTGGTAAGCATTTCATAATCTGCATAATCTGCATAATTTGCAACCACCCAAAATGAAAGGTTGCCATTTCTGCACACTAACAAATATTAATATATATAATATATATATATAATAATATATTAAATATATATTATATAAATATAATGTCTTTAAGGCGATAATACTGCAAAGATTGCTTTTAAAACAGGCATAAGAACAGTGAAACTTGACTTTGCTTTATAGAAATTCCATCAAAACAATTAAAATATCTTAATCTTCATCCTTGCATCTGAATGTTGGCAGAGCATTAGAGATACTGGGAAAGGCATCATTTTAGTTTCCCTCAGCCTATTGAAAGGATATCAGCGGATATTCTGCTGAGGATCTTGTGCACAGTTACTGTTCAGAAATACTCAGAACATCACAGGGCACATAAACATTTGTCACCCTCACTTCCAAGAAGTGGGAGGTTGGGGTGCATTTGTTTCGTCTTGCTTGGTAGCTAGGTCTTATCTGTCTACGCATGTTTTGACATGTGAAAAGAGACTTGACTTGATGATAAGATCATTTTGGCCTGCCTCCTTAGCAGGAAAGGAAGATGGTGTGGAAAATGTAAAACAAATCAAAATCTTTGAACTACAGAAAGAAGAAAACACGGAAATTGCAAGTGTTTTCATGTAGCTTTTCTGACAATGAGAGTATTGAAGCTAATTTTTTTTATGAGACATTTTAATTTGCACACTGGAAAGCTACAGTATGCTCTTGTCCTGCTTTTTTGCTTTTTTTTCTTATCTTAAGTTTCATAATGTACAGGTAAATGGCTCCCTACAGCCCTTGTGATTCTGAAGTGACTGTATAGTGTACTCAATAAATTTTAGGTAATAAACATTTAACATAGTAACCAGTAAAATCTTTTTTATGAAACTGATATAGCTAAAATGTATTCTTAGATAGAACTTCAGTTAGAGTATTGATTCCTTGATATTGGTTCTGCTGAGCGTAGCAAAAGATAGCCTATTTTGTTTTTTCCTTTCTCAGGGAAAAGTTTCATATTGCAGGAACACAAAATTCAATGTGACCTGTCACAGTCAATACAATTAGGTTAATCAAGTGGAGCACTGTTACGAAGCGCATTTTCCTTTTAAAACCAGCCATCCATATAATGTGAGCTTTTCATTCAGAATTCAATATTTGTGCAAGCTTGCCTCAAAATTCACGGGAAACAGGAGTAAAAAGCTTAAGGTTTTACATCCCTCTACCCATTTTTGAAGGTGTTAAATGTCAATGGATGAGCTATTCCCAGAGGCAATGATGGGGGTTACTGGTCTATCACCAGAAAGAGTAATAGCTAATCCTCTGCGACTGGTCAGAAGGGAAAAGACAAGCTTTTTAACTCGGTTTTCCCAGAATGTTCTAGCAACAAGAAAGTGAATAATAACCCTGGTTATTAGAGATGTTGCTAGAAGCAGCACCGGAGGGAAATTAGTGTTCACACATCTCTGTGAAAGACAGCAATCACACAGCTGATTGAATTTAGATTGTGTCGGCCTGCAGTGGGGTGCAGTGGACCCATAAATCAGTAAGCCACATTTCCCCACAAACGTAGCCAACTTGACTTTAGCTTTGAGGATCCCACTAAAAAGAACTATAAAACAAAGGAAAATTTGGTTGTAGAAAATTCGATTAGTACAGATTTAACTTCAGAATTCTTTGTTAGAGTGTTAGAGAGGGAATGCGTGGGGTGAAATGAAAACCGTTCATGGCTCTGTTCCCCTTCATTCAGATGATGCTTGAAGGTATTCGAGGCCCAGGAATGGAAGGAGATATTGCCATTGATGATGTCTCCATTGATGAAGGAGAGTGTGGAGATCCCCCACCTAACAGTGAGTAGCTCCCTCATTACTGTATGTCTCTACTTCTCAGCCCTCTTTAATGAACAGCATTTTTTTCTCGATTTATTCACAAATGTATTGGCTCTATACTTATACCTTGATTTGGTTTCCCTTGCCCTAATCCAATGCTCCAATGATCAAGTTACAGTATAAGGCAGTATTTGGTGCATCCAACATTAAAACATGGAGCTGCTTTATATTGCATTGTAAACACATCATTTTAACTTGATTGTAATAGTGTGATGGATATATTGCTCTACAAAATTCAGAAGTATGCATTGTACAGTGTAAATCATTATTTATAGTGTAAGACCTTTAATACTCATTAAATATTATAAATATAGAGACAATGAGGGAGAATTTCAGTAAGCTACAGTAAACTTTGCTGTGCAGTGTTACTGGAGGAAAATACCAAAGTACTTACTATGCAAGTGTGTGGTCTGTATTTCCAGAATCTAATTAATCCTTTAGGGGGAAATTGATTTGTTGTCCTCTGATTTGCTACAATTTTGCAGCGGTGTAATTTTTAATAACGAGATCCCTATGTGTGACGGGAGGTGACTGTACAGTACATCATATGTAGGGTCTTTTCAGACTAATTTAATACCTTTACCAACTTCACATTCTTTGCAATATGGCTGTTTATACATGATGTTGCAAAAGTTCTTTTGGGGGTTTTATTAGAGAGTAACAAACACTGGATTTAGCACTAAGAAACAGAAGTGAGACTTTATAATAAACTATGACAACATGAGTAAACAGTCAATACTGTACATACTGTACATATCCATGATGGATTCTGCATTTTCTTTCCCAGAGCACCTTGACTTGTGCATCTGAAATCGATACAGTGCAATCCAAATGTATATTGTGCTCTTTGTCTTCCCACAGATCTGAGGTCATTGGCCCCTCCCAAAGGAGCACATATATGGCAGCTTTGTGTCACTCTGCTCCTGGCTCTTTTCAGCCATCGGAGGTGACCTTTCACTGGCAGAGGCTACAGAAAGATCTATCAGGCATTGGCACGAAGAAGGAGTCTGTGTACTTGGACCTTCAATATTAAATTACCAAAGATTCATCCAACTGGACTGCTATGAGGAAAGCAACACACCTAGGGCTCCCAAGGGAGAAAAAAAAAGAGAAAAAACAAAATGAAAAAAAAGTAATAAAGGAAGACTCAATTATTTTTTAAAGAAATATATGCATAAATGCTCCCAAGGGCAGAATGGAGAGCTCTTGTCATCTACTGAGTTGTCGTTCGAACACTACAAGACAATAAGAAATGGATCCTTTTTCTACCACGGAGAAAGACTGAAATAAGAACAGTCAAGGTTAGAAAGTCTGTGTAAAGCACAAAGACATGGATTGGTTTTCTTCTGTAAAGTCAAAGGTACTTTTTTTGCCAAGGAATCATAATGGATTGCTGAAAAAAAGAAAGTTCACTCTAAACAGGGTATAGTAGGAGCGTGTTGGCAGTGACTCCTCAATGCAAAAGCATTGCCACAGATAAATCAGACAGGCTCTTACGCCTTTGGCTGTCAGCTTTTCACTAACTGCCCGAACTCCAAGCGTTCTTATATTATTTTGTTTTTGTCTCTGTTTCGCTGCTACTGACACCATTTACGCTTTTCACAAAGAATCACAAATACAAGCTTTCATTTTCGCATGCCTCATTTAGAACAATAAAAAAGAAGACAAAAAAATATTTAACGTAGGCTGTTTCTTCCTGCATGAACGGCTGCCCATTTTCCCCAAAGCTGACCGCACGCAATATTGTAGTGGTCTTTCAGAAATCTGCTTGTGAGTTGTGGAAGGGAGTTGTCCTCTGTATATTGTATTTCTACAACCAGTCCAACACAGGAATGTGAGCCACTTTCTGCCATGAAACCAAGTGCCTTCAAATTTTAACTAAGCCTGAAAGAAATAAAACATATTGATGATGTTTCCATCGTTAATGGTGGGGCTATTTTTTTACACAATCCACAGCCTGCCAGTGTAGTTTATAGGCATTTAATATTATCGAAAACACCATTAGTGATAACAGTAATAATATAAAAAAATGTTCATAATGACCCGGCTTCTGAAGATTAATAGAAAACAAATCAATCACTACCCACACCCTTCTGGTTGCAAAATAGGTAACAGCCATCAAGACAGCCATGGCCTTTGAGCATGCAGTCCCCCTTGGAATTTATAAACAGGAAAAATAAACTTTCACTGCTTTGACTGGAGGTCGGACCTGGTGCTTTGTGCAGAGTTATTGAAGCAGGAGTAGAAGGACCACCGCAAATGTCTCCTGGGATGCGAAGAAAGCAGAGGGCAGCGATTCCTATGATCGATTGCCCTGATTTCCAAGAGTAATCTCCATTCCAAATCAAGTGGGCCCTAGGTGTGCCAAAAAAAAATAAAGCGGAAGAAGGAAATTCTTCAACATGCTGGAAGTGCAGTGAAAAGAAAATGCGTTTCAGCATTAAGAACTATCGGACACAGGATGACGCTGAGAACACGCATTATCAAGGATGAAATATAGGCTCCTTGCCTCTGCCATTTATCTCCAACTGTGTGGATTCTGACAAAATATTTTATTACTTTAGTGGGAGTGTAATAATACTTTTACACAAACTGGAAAAAAAATGACTTGGAACTACCTGAGATCGTACATTATCTTAACCAGCTGGTTTTTGAAATGTATTGTAAAATCTCCCTTATATTGTTGGTTATGATGACATTTAAAACCTTATGTTATTTTATTTGTTCCTTTTAATTTGTTGGCCTAAATGATCTGACCTTTTAACTTCATATAACAGACGTTTTCTGTTTTGGTTTTTTCTTTTGACACATACATGTCTTTTCTTGATACCCTTGCATTTAAAAAAAAAATCAAAACAAACAAAAAATGATATGCAAATAAAATTGGTGAACAAATGATAAAGAAATGAAAGGTGAAAGTTCTATTACATAAACTTTGTGACTATTGATACAAAAAAGCACAAGATGTAATAATAATAAAAATAAAATGCAGAGGCTTCATTTTTGCTTTATTCTGTAGATTTCTTGCCCAGATTTGAGACGTTTGAGACCCAGAAACCTACAAAAACAAAAGATATATATATATATTTTACATCTGTGTTCAATAAAGCTCTTTTCAGGTAAGATATGACTTATTGCATGTGTGTTTGCTGTTATAAAAAACCCTATTAGCCATTTAACTACAGATCATTCCCAAAAGACTCCCAATTTCATGTTTGATTGCCCTTGTTTATCCCTGATTCGTGACAGCTTGTGCAGCTCTCCTGAGACATCATGTCTAAAGTTCAAAGGAATGGAGAAAAAGGACAAATTCATCTTTTGTGTCTTGCAAATTGTTCCTTTTACAGACAGCTTTTGAGACTTGGAGTGCAGTCATGCAAAATTAGAACAGACAAACCCCTCACTTCCTTCAATTCATTGCTGATTGCATGTAAATGATATGAATAACCCAGTCAACTGCTGAAAAGCCATTGCTTTTAACTGGAACTTAATCATCTTCAAGACGAGATAGCTATTTCATAAAGATATACATTATATACAGTACATTATACAGTTTTAAGGTATATAATAAATAATATATGGCTTGTTAGCTAAAAATTAATTGGGGCATATTTGTTGAAGTGCTGTGTTAATAAAAGAAAACCAAGATCACATCATATAATTCAATTGTGTCATTTTAATTTTCTTTTATTAACAGTAATAACCTCTATAGCCATATCTAGGCCTTTTTGGCTCAAAGGGGATTACAGTCACCAGCTGGGACACTTAAATGCTGTGTTCTGTTAAAGTTAAGTACAACCTTTTAAACGTAGTCTTACTTGATGCCCCGTTAATATCTTTTAAGTCCCAGTACCTTCATTCGCAAAGATTACTGGAGCTGCCATTTGAAGTGAAGGTCAAAGTAATAACACAATCAAGATGTGGCTGCACCACATGGGTGGGCCTCATTCGAGTTGGAACAGTTCTGTAGTTGCTGAAGGTATGTACAATACTGGTTGTTTTTTTATGAAGTTATTGAAAAGATGCTGCGATTTCAATTTTCATTCATGCAGTGCCTTGCAGAAGCATACAATAATTTCTCATTGTCATGAAATACAAGCAATGTGTATAGAAGTTTTATTCAAAACTGTAATACGTGAAGGAGGGTGAATGTCGGTAACACCTGAAAAGAAGATTAGCAAAATGAAATGTGTTTATTGCACAATTATTCATCCCCCTAATTTAATACTTCCGTTGTTCGGTCATATGGTAGAAATGACAAAACGAGCTGACAAATATAAAGGGATAGCATGCTTAATACTCACAGGCTGAGGAACTGACTGTGCTGGACATTAGTACTGTCACATTCTACCTCACTTATGGGGCACAGGCCAGATGAGATAATGCTACAGTGGAGATGTTGGGGTGCAGGGAGAGGTGCACTGCGCCATCTGCATCCAAGGTTTTTATACGTGTCAGGAAGTGGAAATGCAATATCCGAATGAGACCTCCGCCGAAAATCTGTTCAATAATAGAAAGCGCTTTTGATCATAACTCTTGTCACTCTGTTCATATACAGTAGGTCTCTACGAGCTTTGCACAGTGGGATGGTATGATTTCACTAACCAGTTATTGATGATGTATGAATAGTGACTCACATCTCAGAGACAGTACTTTTGCACATCCAAGTGGTATCCAAAACCAGTCTCTTGGCTCCCGAGTTCAGAAGTGTGAGTTCATCTACAGTAGGTAGAGTCTGGGTGGTACGATGAACATTCTCAGTGTACTCAAAGGTAAAAGTGACCTTGTCCTGATCTGTGCCTCTCTAACTGTAACCGTGATTTGGTTTGAAAGATCCTTGGTCTTCATGGTGGATTTATCCTGGGACTGTGTGAGCTGTGGCATGAAATTCAATATCTGTCTGAGGAAACAGAGACAGAAGCATTTGCTCAGCCAAATTAAATCACTTTGATTACACACACACAGAGACCAGTGCACTAATTTTGTGAAATTTCAAACTGTTCTTTTGCACCTGAACTGATTTATGGTTCATATAGCAAAAAGGTTGAATACAAAGTCAATTGAGAATCGTCTGATTTAAAAACTGAATTCATTTACAGATTGTCAGTATTTTTTAACTTAATTATTTTGGAGTGAATTACAGTGGACTAGGATTGCCAGTAATGTTAAGAAAACAGCATAACAAATACAGTATAATTGTATTTCATAATAATTTAAAATAAATAATTCAGAAGAAAAACATAGATTATTGTTATATTAACAATCCTCCTCGATGAATAATAACAAACAATTTAATGTTTTTTCAGATGTGAACTTGATCTGGTCACCATGTCCTCTGTCTCCTTCTGAATAGCTTGTAAAATGAGAGAGAGAGACCTTTCAATACATTTTTCAGCTGCCAAGAAGTAAAGTATTAAAGTAGAAGTAAAATACCCACTTCACCTAACAGGCCAGGAGAATAACATCTTTTAAACAGGTAATCATTGTGAAAAGAGCATGCAGAAAAAAACATGGGGTCATTTATCATTACTGCCTTTTTTCAGTTGGCTGCTGGTTTATATAAATTATATTTCTACAGTGAAGAAGAGTGTCAGAATGAAAAGTAACAATTTGCTTTTTACACAGCATCTTCTACAAAAGTAAAAGATTAAAAACAATTTTCTTATCTACTGTATATAATATTTAATTGGGGTTTTCTTTGAACTATATTGAGCCCTAATATCCAATTGCTGCTGTTTAAACAGCTAAGCTTTTGCTCTCTTCTACAGTATATTGATGCTAAATATTTTGTTCTATTTGGTTGTTGCTAAAGAAATTAGCTTCAACCTATGGGCATCTCATTTAGAACATTTTGAAATGTCCAATACAAACTGCCATATAAATTATTAAATTAACAAAATAATAAATAGTTTATCAGGCAGCAATTAAAAGTCCCAAGTTGCTGGAAATCTAACCTCTCTGTGCCATGTTTGCAGCTTTTGCTGAAAAAAACCCACTAAGCCTATAATCTGATTAGCTACACTATTCAAATGGAAATCAGAAACATTTTTTAATATTACTTTACATTGCTTCTCTGCCAGCGAATGAGCCTTTAGCCACGGGCATCTTTTGTATTCTTTGCAGAACTCGTCAAAAAGCAATCTCTTCTAGCTCAAACAATCTTTTATTATAGATAATGGTTAGTAAAGCATTTCTGTGGCTTTTGCTTTGGTACAATTAAAGTCTGATTTAAATTGTATTATGTTTTGTACAAATATCTATCCCTGGATAACAATATGCACCATTTTATAAGAATGTATTGTGTACTCTTTAGGGGTGTCTGTCATTCCAAGATGATTCCAGTCTTACTTAGCGCAGATTTGCATTTTGTTACTGTCTGATGTTATTTTGTCATGTGTAAGACGGGCTTTGCCAAGTGAAAGCGAACAATATCACAGCATAGTCTGGCGAAATCAAATGGAGGGCAGCAGGTCCTTACAGTAAACGTTCAGTAAACCTGTGTGACGTGAGCTGTTGGAATTGAAGAAGATTGTATTTCCAAGGATTTTGCAATGGATGGTTTAAAAGATGCGCAGAAAACAGTATAGGAACTATGTGATATTTTAAAAGGCTGGATGCAAGTGTGTTGACTGCCATTTTGGCCAATAAACTTTAGAGTTTAATTTAACTACACTGCATTAAAGTGGCATAAATATGTCCATTACTTATGAAACAGATGATTTAGCTATGTAATGGAGAGCTTGATCCAGGAGAAAGAAGACAAGGTTTCTGTAACCCTCCAGACACCACCAACTCATCCATCACCACCAACACTGTGCACAAAGTGTACAGGGTGCAATACTAAGAAACAAAATACCAGGGTGAGTACAGTATATACTATCTTATTTGGTGTATAGTACTGTACTTTATGTTTGGTTAACTCCCCAATGCTTCTGTATGGCTTATGCACAAACCCTGTGTATATACAGTACTGTACCGTATGCAAGCACAACAGAAATGTGATGAATCACATCGATTGTTATACTGGAACGTTGTAAAACCCTACACTTCATTTTATGTAACCGTAACTCATCCTTGAAGAAACTGAATGCTGAATTTGTTATAAAACAAATATTCTGAAAAGACCAATAAAGAGTTGGAACAGCAGTATATGAAGCCTGTTTTCACAAGCAGACATCGGTATTTTGTTTTCCATATACAGTACATAACTGTGTTATGATCAGAAAAAATGCCTAAAAAGAATTTCTCCAAACATGCAAAAACAAATGAATAAAAATCAATTCAAGAAAGTTTCAAGTCAATGTGATGACCTCGTTTTGATTGACTTCTGAAGCCTGTACAGCCTTCAAGACATTTAAAACTTGACTGTAACTGAGACAATTCCTAATCCAGAGGTTTCAAATCCCAGCGTGTATGTAGGTTTTCATACCAACTTGGCACTTAACAAGCTAAACCACCTGATTCCTGTTTTAACAGCTTCTCCCAGCTCTTTGGGTGCTGCTGCTTTAAAGAGATTTTGAAAACCCTCCGACACACTGGCCATTTACAGTAGGACCAAGACCAGAGACATCTGTTCTGTTTTCAGACTGTTCAACTAGTTTTAAAATTGTGTTCCCCCAGGTGACCAAAGGGGAACCTGCCATTTAAACACCTTTACCAAAATAAAAAACCATGTATTAACTCAACCAAGCTCACCTCTTCCTGTTATTCTTAAGCTTTGTAGTGGATAAGAACTGGTGAGTTTGATGGGGTTTGAATGGAAGGAATTTGCTAGAGGACTGATTGGTAGGTCTAATCTTAAAATAGTTCAAGTAGGGAGCTGTGTCAGCTGCCAAGGAACAAGTAAAGGTTTATTCCATGCTGAAAAGAGAAGAAAAGAAACAACGTCTCAGCTGGGGAGCCTTCTTCAGCAGTGTCTGACACCCGAAGAAGGCTTCACAGCCGAAACATTGTGGTTTTTCTTCTCTTTTCAGCGTGGAATAAACCTGGACTTAATCTTTAAATAGTCAACAGTGTTTGCAAATGCATTTGATCCCAGCTGTGATCTCTTAAGCTCGTAGGATAGAAATGCTTTAGTGTAAGGGTGAATCCCTTAAAAGAGAGATTCCCTGTACTGCTACTTCTTAATTAGCTGTACTGTGATGACATGCATGGCGGGGTGATAAAACAAGACCAGGTAAATAAAAGCTAATTACTTTAGAATGTTACTGGCGCTTTGGTTAACGAGAAAGAGGTGTACACAAACTGGTGCCCCTTCAGGGAGGGAGGGGTATCAGAATGTGTTGCCTCCTAGAGCTATACAGTAAACCCAAGTTAGGTCAATGATTATCAGTTTGTGTTGCTATTGAAAGCTAGATATGACTAGTTTTAAAGGAATCATTCTACTTTTATCAAACTTTTGAATTAAAAAAAAGATTTTTAAACAGTGGGCATATGTATTAAATATGTGACTGCTACTTATAGACAAAAAATGGACAGCTATAAGTATGAGCCTACTGCATTATACAAACCAGAGGACAGCTTATTCATCTACTCTAGATGTGACTTATGTGTGCAGTAAAAGCTGCTATATTTAGAAGTTGGAAAACTCCAAAAACTTGCTGCATCAAAATCACAACATTAGCTAAACCGTTTTCCAATTGCACTGACAGACTAAAGAGAATTAGTCTATTGCAGAGGGGTGTGTACAACACACTAGAAAGAAGGTAACAAAATATGTAATAAGACTTATTTTATTATTTTCTTTTATTTCCGGTATTCCTGGAGGGGGGCTGTGTGTCACGGACGTCCAAAGGGACTAACCGTGGGGAGCAGGAGAGCAGAAAAAGACCCATATGCGTAGCGGCAAACGGGAAAAAGGCCCGGGCTCATTAGTGCAAAGAGTTCAGGAATGCCGTATAGGAACCTTTGCCCTCAGGGAGCGGATGTGGGGCACCCTGGTGCTACGCGGGTCTCAGGACATCCGAACGTCAATGCTGAGTGAGGACAGAGTGCAAGACCCGGAAATATATAGCCCAAGGAAGAGAGGGACAGGAAGAACAGCAGACCGGAAACTAGGGACAGGACAGAGAAGGAGCGCCCTCTGGCTGCAGAGGGCGTGACACTGTGCCACTGTGTATGAAGGTATAATAGATCAACTTTAAGTATAGAACCATTTTCCCCCATCATGTTCTTTCTAGCAAGCATTTCACACAGATCTTCTTGTGCACACAAAAGCAGTGCTTTGCAAAGCAGGTAGTTAAAAAGTTACAACTTTTAACAAGTTACAACAGTGAACCACAAGTCCATTATTGAAACAATTTCTCCTTTTATTTTAAGCTTGTAACATTTTATATGCTGTCAACATAATTGAAATGCCTTAGCTTTTGAAGTCACATTGACTATTTAAATATACCCACTTTGTAAGCTAAGTGCTCTAAGTGAGTTTTAAGCTGTAAATAGGATGGCAATAAGGGAATTAAGAACTGTGTAATATTAAGAAATGTGAATGATTGCCTTGGGTATACCATGAGGACGTTTTATACAAAAGAGTGTTATTTGCTTCTACTATACTGACACTGGTTGTTTGCTGCTTCCATTGAAATGCATATGGTGTTACAGAGAACAATGAACGAAAAGACAGAAGCTTATCATAGGCAGAATGGAATTTTGTGCACAACAGAATAGTGGCACCACTGTGCATAGAGTGTTAATGCCGACCCGCACACTTGTGCATTTTCTGGACTTGTTGTTATAATCTGAGAAAGCAAAGGTATATATGGAAAGTTTGCTTCCTTCCAGTTGTATTAAAGTTAGACACTAGGATAAGAGCTATTCAATATTTCATTTTTAGTTTATCCAGCCTTACTAAATTATCATTCTAAGTGTGAAAGCTCAGTATATAAAGTGGTATCCAGATTTTTTTTCCGCCATGAGTGGCAATAGATTAGTATAAAATCTTTTTTTTTTCTGCACCACTGTCTGAAAAGACATAGGAAGA